GAGGGTGGGACAGTGGTGTCACCCCTGACAGTGGAGTACAGCACACTCTGGTGCCCAGTTCCTGCTCACACTGACTCACTGTGAGCTTCTGTGAGGTAAGAATCCAACTCAAAGCATTTTCCTGTCCCCCACCCTGTTTTTCCTCTCCCCTGTTCCTTCCCCAGTTTGTGAAAGCTCGGCTTGAAATTACTGAGAATCTGTTTTACTTAGGTGGGTTTTCTTATACATTTATATAACATTGTACTGTTACAAATAATAAATTCTTTCCCTTCCTTAGCAGCCTCCAGCACATATAACTTTGGCAAGCAGCTTGAATAAACATGTCTCTTCCCATCAGGGCTGCATAAACATATTGGGTGCTGCCTGATCCAAGACACCTTTACTCTTTCCTAGGCATTTGTGCAGTCTGCTGCAGGATGCTTTGGAAAAAATTGGAGTTTCCAGCATGACTGAAAGTGCTTCCTCCAGATATTTAATGTACAAATGATTTTTCTTTAGCAACCTCCCTTGCTCACTCTCTTCCATGTTCCACTTGGAAAGCAAACCCCTTAGCATTTATTTTATGTGAGCTCCACTTCAGAATGAAGTAGGACTACCATTCTTCTTGTTTATTTTTTGCAGTCTCATCTCAGTTTTTTGTGCTTTTGGAAGGCTCTTTGTCTCGTTTTCCCAATTGGCATTGATTCAGTAATTGATTTTTTCTGGTTGTCTCCAAGGCTTCAATGCAAAAAGCCCCAGAGGAGTTGGGTACTTGACTGGAAAGTCACCAGTGATGTGGAGGCCCTGCTTCTCCTTGTCAGCTAGCAAAAATCAGTTTTTCTGGGATTTCTGGAAAAATGCAAGAATATTTTATATTATTATTTCTGGAAAAATACAAGATTTCTGGACAAAATACAGGGCTGGAAGCACCAGCTGCCCATGAGATGTCTGTAATCCCTTCACCCCCTTTGCAAACCTCAGCGTGTGCATCCATCTCCTCCAGATCTTGCCAGAAGTCCTTGAGGACCAGCTGAGCTTTGGTTCATGGTGCTGTCCATGAGTCCTGCTGTGCTCCTGAGCTGGGGGAACAGGGAGACTTGGACATTGTCACACTCTGCTCACAGCCACCAGCAGGAACGTGCAGTGCTGCTCTGGAAAATACACACCCAAATGGAAGAACTGTAGTTATTTAAATTAAACTAGAATTAACCAAAAAATTGGGCCAGATCTATCCAGTCCAGGCTCTTTGTGCCCTAGGTGGAGTTTAAAAATGTTATAGTAACTTAGCTGATGATTTTTACTTTTTTTTTCTGGAATTTAAAGCAGTTTTGAAATTTTCAAATTTTCAGGAAGAAAACCAAGCTTTTTTGAGAATTTTCTTCTGAGAGAAAACAGTGTTTACCTCAGAGTGGGGATTTTGTTAGTGGTGAAAGGTACCAGACTAACCAATACCACTCCTGCCTTGGTCATGAGGACAAGGGACAAAAAAGTAAATCAGACCCTAAAAAAAGTTTCAATCTTAGCAGCCTCATGGCTGAGTATCAAAATAGTAGTCAAATTATTTAAACCCATTTATTTACCAGAGTAAATCTAACAATGGGGCAAATTTCACCCCTATTTCCTAACATCAACCATTTCACCATCTCAGTTTAATCCCAGAGCTTCCTCTCTTCCCTGTGCTTTGCCCCAGTGTCTGTGACTTTGTGGAAAGGAGATGGGATCCAATACTTTGCCTGCTAAAAGGTCAGATGGCATAAGCTAAATGAGACCATTTAAAATGCTTTTATCAATGTATTGCCTTCGAAATGTGAAGAGATTGAAGCTAAGATTTAGGGCAGAATTACTTAAGAATTGAGCTGTCATCTTATTTACATTATTATTAATGGTAGCATTAACGGGACTGTCACACCCCCAGGCAGCTTTGCACTGTACACACAGGTCAAAGGCAAATTCCCTGCCCAAATAACAAACAACTGGAAAAAATTCACTTCCTTGTCTCTTTATTTTTGACAGCAGTGAAAATTTCAAATGGAGACACTGAAGATTGAACTCCAGTGCCACCTGCAATATCAAGAACTTTTGAATATAATGCAACCATCATGAAGCACAAGGAAGCATTTTAGATTTATAGTCACCTGAAAAACTACTGGTGACACACTGACACAGATAATTCATTTTACTACCTGCCCCAGCCTTCTGAATTTTATCCATCAATACTTTTCTTTCTGGCTGCATCCTTGTTTGAACTTATGTAGCAGTGATAATTAATTTGTTCTTCACGTAGTTTGAGCCATGAAAGTTTCTGGTTCCTTGGAAACTCTCTTCCCATTGTCCTGATTTTAATTAAACTCTTCCACTTTCACCTTTCAGTAGATTTTAATCTCATATTGGAGAGAATCTGGATGTTTCTTACCAAAAAAAAGGGAATATTGATGGGGTTTAGGTATTGCAAGAATAGAAGGCTTTAAATTCTAGATCTCTCAGATGGATCTTCTCACCTTGGTCAGATCCACTCAAGGATTTAGACTCCCAAATGAGATTTTGGCATAATTTAGGGACCCATTTCCAGGAATAGGATGTTCCACCTTTCGTATGGGTCTCCCAGTGTGGAGAATTATTTACACTTTATCAACTGGCCCATTATTGGTGCTGAGGTTTTGTGAGAATGCAGAGTAGAGCTCTGCCTTGTTTGGGAGTGCTGATCCATGATCAGGTGTGGCAGAGCTCCAAGGACAGCCCAAAAGCTCCTCTTTTAGAGGAAAACAGCGTCATGCTGACCTGGGTAGGACTGCTGGATACTGTGGACTTTTCCAGTCATATTTCAGCTATGGCTCTGACCTTTGGATCAAAATGTTCTATGTTCACTAATTTTGGATATATGTCAGGTTTCTGACCAATTTCCCATCAATTTAAATTGTAAAAGTAAATATTCATCTGGAGGTGGCTAGAACTGTGGCATCCTACTTCGCAGCCCACTACAGATCAATGCTTATGTTATTATTTCTATGTTATAGAATGGTGCTTATGTTATTATTTGTAAGAGAAAAACATGGATTACATCATGCATTAGAAAAAAATAACGATATAAATATATAAATCCCTTCCAGAAGGGAAGTGAACGTAGAGCCAGTGACCACATTTCTCCAAGAAACTTCTTTTTACTTTGAGCTGCACTTTTTGAAATACGACTTCTACAGAAGGTGTTTGTTCCATGGTGTTGGTTTATTATTTTTATTTCTTTTTTTTTCCTTTTTCATCCACAACTGAATGGATTCTATGCACTCAGACTTTCCTGGGCAGGGAGTGCCAGCCCAAAGCAGGAGCAGCCAGGCTGGAGGCAGCAGGAGGAGCGAGGGGCTCTGGGCAAAGGCTGCACCCTGGGATGTGCCCTCCATCCCTGGAGCTTCTTGAGTCAGTTCTTGCATGCACAGCAGTCCTGGGCAGCTCCACAAGTCCACAAGTCGCTGCAGAGACAAATCCCCGTGCCCAGTCAGCTCCCCGAGTTAAAACCTGAGACTGGCAGTACATCAAGAACCAGAACTTGTTCCAGATTTAAGCAAATGCAGCATGGCAGGTGTACAATGGAATTTAGGTCAGGCAGGGGAGAGAGATCAACAGCACAGAGCCACGGGCTCTAAATTTGACTAATCAAAGAGTGGCCAGGGGTTCAGCCCTGGCAGCTGAAGTGGCAAGGATAATTACATGTTTGAGAAAAACATCCCCTTGGGTGCTTGTAGGCAGCCCAGATCACCAGGAGGGATGGTGATAAAAAACATAATGGAATAACCAGGTTGGCAGGTAGCAGCCAGAACACCTACTGCAACAATCATAATCCAGGCTCTGCAAAGACATTTTTGGGGAAAGACTGAAGGCAAGGCAAGAAAAACTCTGTAAGGAAGTGCAGCTGTGTAGCTATTTGGGAAACCAGAGTTTTAAAGATTCCTCTATAAGAATAAGGACAATCTGACACATTAGATTTAGCAGAGAACCCAGAGATAAACTTAATTTTCAGGACAGATGTAGAATATTTAAAAATATTGCTTGGAAATTTGCTCTTTATTTCAGGCAGGTGCTCAACGAAGCCTTTGCAGCAGCATGAAGACGTCTGCAGAAAGCACATAAATCCAAGGAAACACCCCTGAGGTTAAGAAGGAGGATGTAATATAAATTATTCATAGCTGGAAATTAGCAATTAGTCATTTGGTGACAGAGGAGGCAGGAAGCCCAAACCAAGTTCATTAAGGGGTCCTAGGCCCTTTTTCAGGCAGGCTGCAAAGTGGCACGCAGAGGAAAAGCCAGGACACACGTGGGTAAGAGCAGGAACACAAATTTGGGGCTCAGAGAGCCCCAGAGGGAGCGAATAAAGCCCAGCCCTGCAGGGTCCAGCTGGCTGGGAAAGGAGGAGATGAAGATCCTGCCCACAGATGAGTTTCCAGGGCACTGCTAAGTGACACCTGTGGGATGTCCCTCTGCCACTGGAGCTCACCTCAAACCCTGGGGTTGCACCTTCAGGGTCGTGAACACACCAAAATATGGCACTGGGGTGAAAT